CTCTTCTTTAAGCTTTACACATCTCTGATTTTATTATTGAAATAAAAAGGCAAATATTCATTTTTATGCTGATTACACTCAGCTATATTATGCTTTTCCAACTTATAATTTAGATGATGCAGTTAAGACTATTAATAATGATATTTTAAAATTAATGGAAATTACTAAAAAACATTATTTAAGTGTTAATGCTGCTAAAACTAAAATTATATTATTTGGCCCTCCGAAATATAAAAAAATATATCTAACTTGTCCTTAATTCTTAATGGTCAACAAATCTTTACCACTGAGGAGGCTAAAAATTTAGGTCGACTTGACTCGAATCTGAGGTTTAAATCATATATCAGCAGCTGCATTCGCAGTGAGTGGTTGGTTTTGTCTCAATTTAATTTTGGAGATTTAGTTTTAGTCCAGTTATTCAGGGTTTTTACCTCCGAATTCTTTATAACTGAACCGATTGACGTGAAATTTTGACTGAATGTGGGAAATGAATCAAGGAACAAAACTTATATAGTGCCGAAGTGTAATTTTGCCTTGGGGGTGGAAATTTTTACGCCAAAAATAACCACAGAAATCAATAGAGGAGTCAATTTTAAGTAACAAATGTTATATAAAGTTTTTTGGATAATCCAATATTTTCCGAGTAATTCGTCATTGAAAATGTTGATTTTTTACTGAAAAAGTGCTTATTTTCGGACAGTTTTTTGTAAATAACTGTAAAATCATTGGATTTATCAAAAAGTTGTAATGAACAAAAAGAAAGGTAATAAATAAAATAAATCTTATGGCATTATTTTGTTTTTCTCTAATTCTAATATGAACTGAGTTATAGATTTTTAAACATTATTATATGTTAGCTAAAAACTAAATTGGAACTAGTTAACGTTAAATAACGCCAAAACCATAAATATTAGGAAAAAACTATTTGAACCTTTTTTTAAAGTACTTTGAAAAATCTTTAAAATGAGCTGTTTTAAAAGTCTTTAGAATCAAAATTAAAGGAAATATGATCCAAATAACATGATAGTCTCATTTTTTTAAAGAAAAAATTAATAAACAAATCAGTGCCTTTGGCGACAGAATTAAAATTAAATGCAATCCATTTACAGATTTCTTCATTTATGTTCTAAGAATATCTTCTGGGTCTTTGGCTCATTTACAAAACATGATTTCCAAAAAAAAATAATTTTTGAAAATGTTAATTTTTCAAATTTTTGAAAAAAATTCCCTGTAACTTAAAAATTAAAGGGTGTACGAAAAAAATTCAAGAATAAAAAAATTTTGCTTTATTTTTGATGAAGATTTTGCTTTTTTTCTGTTCCTCTAAAATTAATATTAATCGAGATATCGCCATTTTAAGTTATCATATGAATTAGAAAACCACCTTTTTCGAGCCCTTTAAACCGTTTAAACTTAAAAATGAAGGGTCAACAGTTCATGTAGCCCTTACAATTCCCTGCAAAATTAGCCTTTGTGCGATTAAAATTCTTAAAAAATAAACACGTGTATAGGTGATAATTTTAGGAAAATATATATAAATTAATTAATTAAAATTAAATAAATAAATAAATAAATTTATTAATTATTTTATAAGAAGGGAATAAATGTTTATTTAATACGAATGCACATTTAAAATGTTTCTACTCTTTCAATAATATTTTTTATTTTATTTTCGAAAGAAGGGGTATTTGATAAGGGTTGAGAAGTTACAATCGATAAAAAAGATTTTTTAATCAAGAAATCAATTTTAATTTGATAAAAATATAATTAAAACGTTTCAAGTTGAAAAAAAAAATGTTTATATTATTTTCATACAAAGGGGCGGTTTTTAAAGGTTTTTCCGGGTTGAAAATTTAGAACACATTAAGTTTCATGTTATAAGCACATGAAATTACTCATAATACTGCATAAATAAAAAAGATTTGACATACACAAAATTTGTATTTTTTCTTTTTTCCAATAAGGGGTGGTTTTCACCCCTTAAGAACAAAAAGCACACCTAGCGCATATATAAGTTTTGAAGTGGGGGGTAAGATGAGCCTAATTCTAAATTTTGAGAAAAATCGATGCAGTTATAAAAAATTCGGAGGTATTACTATATTTTCAACTACAGTAACTGGGCTATTTATGGCCCGCGTATTGATGCTGTTGATTCCAGGCGAATTCAGTTAGTGCAGAACTCTTGTTTGAGATTAATTTTTGGAATCAGAAGACGTCAATGCATTTCTTATAAATTATTATCTGAAGTTGGTTAGCTGAATATGTATAATCGTCGTTTATTGCACAATGCTTGTCTATTTCACAAAATTATTTTAAATAGGGCACCTCCTTATCTTTATAATAAAATATCATTTAGAATTGATGTTCATAATGTTAATATTCGGTTTAAGGTTAATTTAACTCCTCCTCTACACCATACTCAGTTTGAAGTAATTTGATTATAAAAGAACAGTAGTTAGAAGGTTATCAGAAATTATTAATGGACATATTGACTAACGGGGGTCAAGTACAGAACCGTGAGGTACTCCCGATGTAGTAATAATTTCATTCGATGTAAAACCACGATACTGAATTTTCAATGATCCTTTAGACATATAATATAAAAAAACAAATAAAAAATTCATAGACATACCAAAATTTGATAACTTAAGAAGAAGAATCCAATGATGCAACCTTCCAAAGGTTTTTGACAAATCTGTGTAGATTATCAACCTGTTCACAAATATTATATCTAGTGTATACGAGTATGCAATGAAATTAGTAACATTAACAACATTAGTTAAAGTGGATACATTCGTATAAATCCATGTTGACAAATTGAAAATTTAACATGAAAATATAAGACATGCAAAATAACGCCAAAATTATTGAAAATTACAATGAGCCTGTAGTTTTCAAATTAAATTTTTTATCATCTTAGGTAACTTCAATTTTAATTTCAATGGCAATTCAGATATACAAAGCCTGGCAACCAATAGCCAATAGGCAACCAACATAGCACGATTGGCACTATCAGCCTAAATCTTCGTCATCAATATTAATGGTTCGTTTACAATGAACAATGACAAACCGTATAGTCCAGTCATTGAAGGTAAAATACGGCGTTACTGAATAATTTTCCCAAACAGCACCGATTTGCACCAAAATTTGGATTTAGGTTCTACTTACCCTCTACTTCAAAGTTGACCCTGTACCGTTTATTTTGTAGGTGTGAAAACTACCCCTATTCGAAAATAATTATAGAATTGTAGATTCGAGCGTGTAATAGGGTGAAATCATCTTTAAATTAGTAATTATGATGAATTGAAAACAGCTCCTATGACAGTAATCATTAAAAAATAATGTTGAAAAATATTAATCAACAACTTGGAATAATTTAATCATAATAGTGATATTAAATTAAGATTTCTTTACTGTTTTAATTTTTTATTATTTATTTATAAGTTTGAACTCTTATAAAAACCACCCCTTGCAAAAAAATCAAACAATTATAGAAAAAAAAATTTTTTAGTTCAAAATATAATACAATCTTTATATTATTTAAAATGTAATGTAATTATTTATTTTCAAACCTTAAAAAAACCCTACTGATTAAAATTTGCAATCAAAAATAGGGAAATATGAATTTTATTTTTATATGGATTTTAATTTTTTAATTTTTATAACAAAAATGTTTTTTATTGCAAATAACATATAAATAATCAAAAATCCTCTCCATTTTCGTCTTCCTTTTCTATTCTATTCCTAAAATTACTATTTCTTGTCCTAAAATATAGCTATAATGTGTATTCATCAATATTTCAATATATGTGTTCTGATATCTGCAAAAATATGTGATTGGTTTTTTACCCGCTTAGCTTTTATGCTATCAAGCCCTTCACAAAACCATTTTGTAGTTTTTTTCAAGGGCTATAACATCAAATAAATTCTCTTTCAGCTCTTATTTTTGTAAGGGTTTGAGCTGAAAGGGCTTGAACAAGTTGCTATTTACGACTATATGCAACCTTTACACGGACATATCTTACTTAATTTTTATCCTACAGAAAAAAAAACAAAATTTTCAAAAAGCAAAACCTACAATTTTGTACTCTACAAAATTTTGCGTATCATTATTATTTTTTTAGTTATTTTGAAGAAAGACAATTTTTTCCAAAAATACAAAAATTCTCTTTTCACTTCAAGCTCAACTTTTTGCAAAACTAAGCACTTTAAACCGGTCAAACCCCTTGAGCATATTACAAGTAGGTACATAAATAAAGTAAATTGTAAAGCGGTAACGATTATTTTCAATTGGGGTGGTAATTAGGGGGTGATTTGCACGTTTTTTGTCGCCGAAAAAAATACGAACTTTATTTTCGTCATAACTCGCTTAGGTTTGATGCTAGGGACTTTTGTAAAAATCAAAAATAAAGATTTAATCAACCACTTTAAAAAAGGTTTTATAAGTATTCCCTGACAAACGCATTGGTTTTTGGTTATTTCACGTTCAAACTTTCAATTTTGGCGATTGACGAATAAGAACCAACATTTAACAAGCTATTACTCCTCTTGTATTGGGTCTACAGACACCATTTATACACAGTTCTTTTTGTTTTTTATAAGCTAAATTTTTTATAAGAATGATTTTTGTCATAAAATACTTACTTTTTGAGTTATTCGCGAAAAACCGTCTGAAAAAGTGATTTTCTTGGTTAAAACATTTACACATTCACTCGCGAATAAGTTGAAAAGTGTTGAATTTCAGCAGAAACTTTATAGAACAAAAGTTGCTTAGAATTAGTCAATATATCCATTCCCGGTTATTTTCAAACATTTTTCACCCCCGAGAAGGGGTGGCATCCACCCCCAGGGTAAAAGCAACTCCCGGTACAAGGTCAACTTTGAAGTAGAGGGCAAGTAGAACCTAAATCCAAATTTTTATGAAAATCGATGGTTTGGCAAAATTATACGGGAAAATAGTCATTGACTGGACTAGTTATACTACCCTACCATCAACTTACCGGAATGTCCTTGAACACTTCAGGATCGAATTCTTCGAACTTATTCTCACTAAGCTTGAGCACATGCAGTTTAGCAAGTTTAAGGAACACACGAGGCACTATTTCTTCCAGCAAATTCCTTTGCAGAGTCAATATCCTTAACTCGGTTAGGTGTTTAAACGCGCCTATCTGCAACCTCTCTATCCTATTATCGTCCAGATTTAACTCCAACAAATTCACTAACCCGCGGAAGTTGTGATCCAACACCGTACTAATGTTATTATAAGACAAGTCCAAGAGTTTTATAGAGGGAACCCCCCAGAACGCGTGCATGGTAATCTGATGTACGTTGGAATGCCTTATGGAGACTTCCTTGAGTTGCTTGAACTGCTGGAAAATCGGGGCGATCGACAGGGTATTGCGGTTGCCCGCAGGGGCCGAAATCTCCAAGATTTCCACGCCGGGGTCCATCTCTGATGTGGGAATGGGATCCCGCATGCCACCTTTGACGCAAGACACCTTCCGCTGGCCGTTGTCGCTTTGTTTGCAAGTGCAGGAGGTGGGGCAGAGAGCGCTAGTTGAGTACAGCCACAACAACGTCAGGCTAGGGGGTAGCAGGTGCCATGAAAAGAGCATCCTGCAAAGAAAATAGGTCGTTAGTTTATAATGTTCGTAGTGCTGGTACGCTTATTATAAGATCTATCTCAAAGAAAGGAGCATGTGTGAATATTTCTCAATTATAAATTCAGAACAATTTCAAAACATTGTTTAAACTTGTACTGTTTAATATTTAAATCGAGTTTGCTTCTCCCTTTCTTCCTGTTTTTATAACTAAGTATTTTATACAAAAACAAGACATTAACGTTTTTTCTTTTTGTTAATAAGAAAACAATTTCGAATAGAGTTAAAAATTCTAAAAACAAACGGGTTATTAACAAAAGGCAAGAAAGTTTATATTTCTGGTTGTGTGGGTCGGTTGAAAATGATTTTATATTTAATTACGTGTTTTTATCGCTCTTTTTTGAAAATTCGATCATAAAATTAAAATAGATTAAAATTTACGTACTGAAAAGTAAGTTTTTCGTTCACGTAGAAAACTTTGACAACCTTCTCAAATGAGAAAAAAATATTCCGCAAGTGTTTAATATATACTAACCAAGTTTCATAAAGATGCAAAATCTAGAAAAATTTTAACTTCATTCCAAAGCCTCAGCAATTATGACGTATAATAACTCAGCAACAACTCATCTGTCCAATAAAGGGTTTCGTTAGCTTACACTGTAAAAGAAAATCACTCAAATTTACTCAATAATGTGACGATTTTTGTCCACACCCGATTGAGTGAAATTTTCACTCTATTAGTATGAGTACAATTAAAATTTTATGAGTGAAATTATTGCAACAGTGAGTGAATTTTACTAAAATCCAACTTTCTGGTAAACATCAAGTGAGTGACTTTTTCTATTCTTAGTATGTAAAACCAATTAAGAGTTGACTTTTTCTCTACTATGAAATAAAAACGTCGTCGAAGTTGGCTGTGACACATTGGACGTAGGGAGTAGCTTATAGCGACTAACTTAACCTCATTTCTCAACGAGCTGTATAGCAGCTGTCAGTTTCAATAACGTTAATGACTATATAACTTTATTTTAAAGAGTAATCGTGATAACAATAACAAACAATTAAAGGAGCTGCGGAAAGTGTCCCCCTCATTGTTATAACAATAAATTAAAGCAGCTGCTGAAAGTGTCCCCCTCCTTGTTCCAAGCACTTTTCACACCTGTTCCTCAAAGAATTAAAGACATTTTCTAAGATGCTCGGGGTATTGTTAATTTCACGAATCTTGTCTATAAGTCGAGCCTGCAGATGGTTTAAATCAGGAATAGGCAGTTCAAAAATAGTGTTTTTAAGGTAAGGCCACAAAAAGAAATCACACGGCGTAATATCACATGACCCCGGTGGAAATTCATGTTCAGCATTGAGACTTATTAGCTGGTTAACAAAAGGAGCGATAATTTCTTCTCTATACCTTTGCGCAGTAAGAGTACCATTAAAAAAATAGGTCCATAAATCCTCCATTGATTGAGAGCATACCAAACTCCAATTTTTTGAGCGTGTAGAGGGCCCTCGACAAAAAAGTTATCTGGTTTTTCAGAAGACCACATTCTCATATTCTGTGAGTTTACGTAACCACTTAAATGAAACCAGGCTTCATCAGAAAAAAAGGTGATATTATGAAGTTCACCGTAGTTGTTTAAAAACCATTCACAAAATACAGCCCGTCGCGGAAAATCAACTTCATGAAGTTCTTGCTGACAAGTTAAACGATAGGAGAACAAACGCAAATCTTTTTTTAACACTGTGTGGCAGGTACCGACTGATACTCCCACCATTTGTGATAAAACACGTACAGAAGTTCTTGGCGCATTTTCCATTATTTGTTGGACATTTTCTTTTAATTCTTCAGTCCGCTTTTTAGGTCGGCCGCTTCCTTCTTTTCTTGTTACACTGCCCGTTTCACGAAAAACATTAACACAACGCTGAACTGCACTTTGAAAAATTTTGTACTCAACAACGCCGGGAAATTGATTTTGAAATTCTATGAAACATTCCTCAATAGAATACTTCCATATTCCATCAATCTTGCGTCCATTTCTAAAGTAGGACTCTATGATAAACACACAGAACATTTTGTTCTTGAGAAAACACCATTTTAAACGCTTTTTAAAACGAAAATATTCAAATTGATAGCGGCGATATATCGCTTTGACAGATGACGTTTAAGTTCATTGCTATACGCTACGCCCTACGTCCAAATTTTCAGAACCAACTTGACCACGTTTTTATTTGAACGCTCATTATTAAGTAATTTTGTACTATGATAATTTCTAAGGGAGACGGCGCCTCAGCACCCTCACCACCAGCCGCCGCTGTTACCATTTCATTAATATATGCACTGTAAAAAATCGATGTGAGTGAAAGCAATAAAGGTTCGGAGTGAATTGAGTGAAATTATTGACTTTCACTCAATATTGAGCATTTTGATAATTTTCTCATTTGTGATTATATTTAAACTAAAACTCAACTCAAATATAGGTACACCATAAATAAATTCTTCACGTAAACTCGTATTTGGTGCACTTGTACCTAAATCAGAGTAAATGTCCTCATTACTGAGTGATCCCACCCTTTTTCATATCCAGATGCATCGTCATTGTCTGTTGCCATCGTCCCATTTGGTTATCTCGTGACCGTGGCGTGGTGGATGGCAGTATGGCGTATGGTGTGCTTTGGGGTTGGACAAGTATCAGTTTATCTAGTTATTCTAGTGAAAATTGTATTTAAATGCAGTGATTTAATTACAACAATTAAAGATAATATTAAATTAAGTCTAGATTAATATTTGATTAAATAAACGGATAGTTAAATTGTTATCTATAATTACTTATTTGTAACGTACAATATAGGTTATGGCAATCTATTCGTCTGATCAGTTCACCAATTCCTTTAATCGAGACCTAAAATATTGCCTCTAAAACAGATCTGTGTAGAAACCACTGTGACAGCTTAGTAGTTTATGATTTTAATACAATGATATTTAAATTAAAATGTAAAGAGAATATAAACCAAGTTTTAGTAAAAAATTACCCAATAATAGTTTAAATTTAAATCATATTAGAGAGATAGTCAACTTTTAAATTGATTTTATATACTCAGAATAGAGTCAAAAGTCTCTCAATTGGTAGTTAGCAGTAACTCAGATTTGAGTAAAACACTCATTTCCGATGCAATCGTTTCACTCAGTTGTACTCATACTAATAGAGTGAAAATTTCACTCAACTGGGCGTGGACAGAAATTAATACATTATTGAGTAAAATTGAGTGAAATTTGAGTGAATTTTTTTTACAGTGTGGAGTAGTGTTGCACCACTTTATCTTCTCTTTAAATTCGATAAAAGTAGAAAAATTGTCTTAAGCTAAGAAAATGTTATATTGGAAATTTTTAATAAAATATTTTATTTTTTTCAACTTTAATTTTGAAAATTAATTCACTACTTTATCTTTTTAAAAGACAATTGTGATAAATTAGTATAAATATTAGTTGACAAAAGAATTTTTGTTAAAAACTAATACATTTTTATATTTTAAAAATTTGCCTGGAATTTTAAATTCAAAAAAATAAATTTTTATCTATCGGAATCAAAATAAAATATTAACAGTGCTACTAAAGCTATATATGTATCTAACGCACCAATTTTATATAGGGGGGATGCAAAACGATTTTTTTTTAGCTTATTTTTGACAACCATGCACATTTTATTAATAAAGTGATCGACAAAAAATCCGGGAAAATTATGTTTTACCTAATTTTCGTTGAATTTCTTTATTTTTTTAATTTTTTTATATTTTTTAAATATTTTTCTTGTATTGAAACGGTTTTATTAAAAATATTTCTAAAAAAATTAATTCACTGTACCTATTTCTCCCATCATATCTCTCTCTTATTTTGTCCCCCCCGCCCATTGGCTGTCGACGCCATTGCTATATTATACGTTACAGATACGTATGTAAGTATAGGTAACAATTTAACTATCCGTTTATTTAATCAAATATTAATCGACACTCAATATATTATTGTTTTTAGTTATTGTAATCAGACAACTGCATTAATATTCTCCAAAATAAACGGATTTACGGATACTTGTCCTGCACTATACACCATACACCATGCCACGAGATGACCTAATGGGGACGATGAGAATAGACAAAGACAACCCACGACAACCATAGAATGGGATGGGGTCAATTAATAATGAGGACATTTACTCCGATTTAGCTACAAGTGCACCAAATATGAGTTTATCTGCAGAATTTATTTAACGAGTACCTATATTTGAGTAAAGTATTCAGTTTTAGTTCAAATATTATCACTAATGAGTAAAATTATCAAAATGCTCAATATTGAGTGAAAATGTACTCAATAATTTCACTCAATGGATTTATTCCGTACCTTTATTGCTTTCGCTCACACCGATTTTTTTGCAGTGTGTTATGCATGAATTTTTCCGAAAGTTTAATGAAGTTTAATTAAGTGTTAGAAAGTTTACAGGAATTTTAAGAAAAACATCGATTTTTATCATTTTTTGTTGATTGTAAAATTATTTTTACAATAAAAACTTGCATTGCAGCCAGGCTATCTTATAGAAAATTTTCGCAGAATGCAATCCAACTAAGATATTGAAGAAAAACAGATAAAAAAGCATTTTATGCAACGTACATTGTAAATAACAATTTTTCCTTACCATCCGACCCTGCTGTATTTTAATGTTATTCCATAACATATTTGTAGCCGATTTGTTAGAAAATTTTTGGGGTTTATGAAAAATGAACACAATCAAGACGTTTTGGGCCTCTCCTAAATGGACTACTGATTGTGACAGTGAGACCAATGTAGAAGACGGCCCTAATAGAGTAAGCTTGTTCAATGTTATATTTTTATAAATATTTTTGTAATTGGAACACATTACCAGGAACCATGGAAGTAAAAGTTGTTTGTTATATACATTTGTTTTTCTTTCTCTCGCAATTCTTTTCCTTAGCACGCCAAAACCCCCAGATGTAACTAGGCAACTTTCTCATTTTATTATTATGTAAAGAAAACATATTTTGTATGTTATTTTACACACATAAATCTTAAAAACTTAGTCAACTTGTAAAAAAAATATAATAAATAATTACATTTTTTAAGTTAATTGTACTAGCATACCGACGAAGAACAAAGTGGGATCCCACATTACCAATTTGCCCTCTGTCATAGCTACATGAGACAAATTAAAATTTAAAATGTAGCGTTCATTTGAATAAAGGCACATGTGACAAAATAAATTGCCTGTGCATTTAAAACTATATATTGAACGGACGTTTTGTTAATTTTGCATTGTACATGTTTGATAATATATACAAAAATAGAATATGTGACACATATTCACAAAATCATTAAATATAAAATGTGGTTTATATGACTGACGGCAGGTAATTTATATAACGTTAAATTAAATCAGTTTAATATATGGTTCAGAGAATAAATATATATCACATATTAAAATGTTATAGTTATTGATATGCAGGTATTTCACCTGCAAGCGATAATTTTATATAACTTTTCACTTTATTAATAACACACTGCTAAATTTTCTATTAAATATTTATATTTAAATAGGATTTAAAATTTTATTTATAATTACTCTGTATAGTCTTTCCGATCTCAATTGAAGAACCAAGAGGTTGGCAGTAAGTACCAGGTTTGGTCGCTGACGTAACAACTCGGCATTGAAATATTTGAAAAACTTGTTCCCATATTTATTTATACATTTTATAGAAGTGGTGGAAATGTATACGCCCAGTTGAAGAATGCGCACGCGGGCAAACGGCGCGCGGCGTATAACACAGCCCCACTGGGCAACTGAGCAATAAATCTCAGCTGTTGACAAGTGGTTGACAAATTGCCTTGCAGTGCAATGCAGCAATGCAGAATTTAGTGTGATTCAGGTAATTTTAATTTATTATAGGCACCTTCTATTAATCATTAATATTAAAATTGCGAAAGAGATAGATAATAGGGATATTTGTTTACTGATACTATTGTGGCATTTTGGAGACCTTTTGAAACGGAACAAAACGAAATATACCATCAATATAATAAAATTGTATGAGGACATAAATAATTAAAATATGTTGTCAGCCAAATGAACATATAATAGAAATTTTCTACACATTATATACACATTATTATAATTTTTTACCTTTAGCAGAAAACCTTTTTAGGGACGCCTATGAAACTCATTAAATTTTATTGCTAGGGGTTTTTATACATGTTTAACTGACTTCAGAAAGACTATAACTATGCTTACTAACCTAAATTTATTTTTTAGTCAAATGGACAAAGCGCTGAAGACTAAATACATTTTCGAGTGTGTGCAAATAATATGTAGATTGGGATATGTTACTAATTGCAAATAAAAACAACCATAAAAAAGATAAACATATTTACCCGTGTGATAGATTTGAAATATTTTTTAAAATCATCAATTCAAATTTGTTTTTTAAAGCACTATGTTAAGTTTATGAATTTCACTGTCAATTTTCTCTGACATTGACCCATATTACAAAGTTATTTATTACAGTGTTTAGTGACGACGCAATGTGTTTATGTGTGTTTATTTTTTAATTTCCGTGAAGTATGAATAAGAAAACATGTATACGAATTAAGAAAGATGAAATTTGACATCAGCGCATGCTTAGTTCCCAATTGGATATACACTTACAACTAGAGCGTGCAGTTGTTTGAGGTTACACTAACCTGTTCAGTGGCGTGGCATAAAAATTACAAAAAAGGGTTGAAAAGGTCAGTTTTTAGTACAGAATTTGAAAATAAATTACATCCTTATAAATATGACCCCTGTTCAATGTTTATTAAGGATTTCATTTACGATTGTAGAACCTTGCATTAGCCTTATTATTCATATATTAATAAATTCTGTCTAAATAAATAACTTTAACCTAAATTTGTAATCCTCCTTTGTTATGCAGAATACTTGACACTTTGTTTTCCGAACTTCGTTCGGGAGTTATGAATTGTTTGTATAATTTCCATAAAAATTCAACAAACATTTCAAAAATGTCAGGATTTAAAAATGTTTGCGAAAGCACATGAATTATTTACCTTAGCATTCTGTTATATCATTCTAAAAACATTATTTACATTACGCGTATGAGTCTTTTACATATTTATGTTTGAATAATTTGAAGGGCTCATTTGTTTACAGTAAATGGCAGTAAGGCAAGGATATTAAAAATACTATTCAGCACAATCAATAGTAAACAAGGTATATTTTATTGCATATTTTTGTATAATTTGTTTACGTTGCATATAATTGGTGTGAGTTGACACATTGAAATTACTGAGTGAATTCATCGTGTGAAATTGTTGAGTAGATTTCACTTAATATGAAGCATTTTGACTATTTTACTCATTATGTTAATATTTTGACTATCCTTTTCTAATCCATTGTGATGATTGAACTTTTGTCTCAATGTCGTAGCCGTAAACCCAGCTTTAGTATTCCGTTATGATCCTTTGAATGAAGGTTTCATCGCCATTGGATTGTTCAAGGAGATGCCGAGAAAAGTCCACACGATTTTCTTTCTGTTGTTCTTTCTCATCAAAA